TTGCCGTGCCAGGAGTAGGAGGCAGAGCCAAGCGATGTCAGCGGCGCGCCGGGAAAGGAGGACGACCAGTTGCGGCATTCGCTGCCCGAGAGAAATGGGCGGCGCGCAAAGGGGGGTAGGAGGAGTGGGGAAGGCTTCTTAGAAACACCCCTGTTTCTTAGAAGGCCCCGGCCTTGCGTCTATAGAGAAGGCCAGCGCCATCTAAGAAGCAGGGGTGCTTCTGAGAAGCCTTCCCCCCCCCAACCAGGAACGCGGGCGACTGCCCCTGACCCGAACCTGGATGGTGGGTTGGCTTAAAGTGATAGCGCTTCACCGTTACTGCCGCAGCTCAGGTTCCTCGACGCCGCCACCCAGGGACCGAGCCCGTGGCAACAGCCGTCAATCCAACTACTAAATGGAAGAGAAGCAGACTCGATGCGGCCCTAACGACTGCGCGAGAGTACAGCAGATGATCGGGCAACCCCCGACCGCAGTTGGCCCATCCAACTCACGGACCCTTTAACTTTAAAGGGATCGTCATTTCCTACAACCACCTCGCGAAGGACACAGGCACCGTGCACAGGGAGGGGCCTCAACCAACCACATCGGCCGTCGAGGGATTCCACGCAGCACCCTCCTGCTGCAGGCGGCGGAGAACGCACAAAAGCCTAACAAGGCGGTGAGTGCCCACCGAGACGCGGAGGTGCCGCCTTGGGCACGCACAGTAGCAGTACAGCAACAGTTCAGCAACCCTTATGATTGCCAGGGCAAGGGTAAGCACAGGCAAAGACACGTTTCTTACTCTTTTGGCTGTGCCAGGTCCCCTCCCACCAGGTCCCCTGGCCCACGGCCCGATTGGGCCGCGGCCAGTGCCCTAGGAGTGCCTTGGGTCCCCCTCCGCAGAGGTGCCCACATTGAACAGGCGGCCAAGCGGCCTCACGGTATTATTCACGTTCAGAGCCCAGTCGAAGCGCAGCGTCGCAAACAACGAGGAGTAGGTGATGATGCTGACGCACATGCCTCCGAAGGCAGCCGCTGTGAGGGTGTACTTCCTGAGCATGTGCACTAGGGAGCTCACGCGGTGCCCCTTGAACATCATCGGCTGCTTGCGACGTCGCGCGGGGGCGGCCCCGACATCTCGATGAGCAAACGTGACGTAGCAGAAGGCTTGGAGCGGGTCCTCCCAGATGTCGTAGACGTTGCGGGACGGCGACGCGCTGCTCCGGAGGGCGGTCCAGACGCCCTTGGCCTTGGCCTGATCCTCCCGCTTCGTGACAAGCTCGCTGTGGTCGTCATGCGCGAAGGAGTTCCCGACCGAGTGGCCGCGGGTCTTCAGGACGGTGTCCCTCAGGTTGACCTTCTTGCCGCCGTTGGGGAACTTGCCGCCGCTGGCCCCGTCGATCGGGAAAGATGCTTGGACGCCCTGCTCCTTCAGCTGGATGTTGAGCTCACCTAGGTCGGCCTCCACCAGGAAGCACCAGGCCGGAGGGCGGTGGGCCTTCAGGAAGGTGAGCATCATGCTGCCGCTGAGGAGGGAGAAGGGAGGATGGAGGAGGGAGGGGGAGGAGGGAGGGAGGAGGGAGGGGGGGGGAAGGAGGAGGAGGCGGAGGAGGAGGAGTCGGAGGGCCCCCATCGGACCTCGGATATGACGAGGCCGAAGTTGAATATCCTAACGCTGAAACTTCTTGACAGCCGACGGCCACGCGAGACGCACTGCACTGCGGACATGCGCACCCTCATGGCCCCACATGCGAAACCACAGCTTGAGGCAATCCGCGGCCATGGTGGTGCCTGGGTCGCCCTTCTCGCCCTGGAGCGCGAGGAGGGTCGTGAGACGCCGCCCAGACGACGGGGCAGCACATGCATTTCCTTGGCGGCGGCAAAACGCTGTGACTGCATTGCCGAAAGCGCCGTTGATCTGATGTCCGTAGGGCACTGCTGACAGGGGCCCTCGGCGTTCGACTCTGGCCGTGGTCTTGTGTTTTTTTTGGAAGCCTGTGCGCGCCGAGCTATTTTAGCACTCGCCAGAGCTGACTTCTCCAAACGCCGACGTCTCAGAGCTCTAGCATGCCAACGCCCTCCACCAAGGCCAACGCCCAAGTAGGATACCTGAGCCTGCGCCTCGATGGTGAAACCTGCTCGCTTGACTGCCTCTGCGACGTGCTTTGCATCTGACAAGTGTGTGTGTGCACAGAACAGCTGACTTGACTGCAACCTGCAACTTTTGCTTGCGCAATCCATTGCACGTGTCGATGGTAACACTGGCAAGTAGTTGCCTGATTGTTTTCCTCGGGCGCTCGATGCTCTGGGTCAGATCGTCGATTCAGATGCGATGAGAGAAATGGGGGATGCACGGTTGCAATGGCACACAATGCGAAGAAAACCATCATCCGAGCGAATCGTGCACCTGATCTTAATCCTTGAACAATACTCTGCGCGGGGGACATCGGGGCTAAGTACGCTCCTGCCTGCCGAAGGGCGCGTGGAGCAGCACGCTGCTGAACCTCCAGCGCCAATATTGTGGGCGAGAAACCGACCTTCAGGGCGCCCTCGATGAGCAAGTCCCACGGCACCGCGTCGTAGTAGCCCTTGATGTCTAAAAGGCCGTTGCCAATGGACAGAGATAGATGGTGCGCCAACGCTTCATCCAATACTCTCAGGAACGCATCCCTGAGCGCGGCATTTCCAACCGCTGCCGCATCCCACGAAGGCGCGTTGACTTCCGCCCATTCGGCCACGTCTGGTTCTTGGCGCATGGACCATACCCGAGCGAACATAGTGAGTATTCCAATGGCTCGATCTCCTGAACCCTTGTGCTTTGGCATCAGATGACCGGTGACGAGCTGGGTCTGAGCGGGCCAGGCTAGAATTGATTCCACGGCCTCGAATATTGAAATGAGCTCGGACAAAGGTGGGTCAGGGAGCCTTTCAAGGTCACAAGGAGAAAGCCGACCGACTCCTTGGCCCAGCTTGGGCCGCACGCGCTTGGTTGCTGCTCTCACACTCTCAGGTGTGAGTTCTGCCAATGGCTCGTCCTCAGCAGCAGCGCGAACATCAGCGAATGCCCGATCCAAGCGATCATGATCTTTGATTTGTGGGCACCAGATTGCCTCCCAATGCTTCCTCTTGTGGCCCACGGTGTCCCAAGGGTTGTGGAGCGCAGCATTCTGGGCGATGAGTTCTTGCTGGGCCAAGGCCCCCCCCCCCCCCCCCCCGAATGTTGCGATGCAGTGCTCCCAGCGCCTCTGGGCTGTCGACCCATTCCTGGAAGCGGTTGAGGGAAGCTTGGTTGGCCCTTCCTTGGGCACGTTTGCTCAACTTAGCAATCCAACCTTCAATCTTGGATAAATCATTGTCTGAATAATCCTGCAGAGTTCTCAAATGACGAATGAGCGTAGGGAAACCTGGCTCCTGAGGTCGCACTGCCTGATCTGCTTTCCCTGGGATGCGCTGAGGAGCTTTGCCATTGAATTTGGGGGAACCTGAACCTGCCTGCCACCATTTCTCCGACTTCGGTGGCGTCTGATCGCGGCGGCCACCGTGGCGAGGCGAGTCCACCAGTTGGCTAGCATATCCTGGAAAGGCTGGGTCCTGGAGTGCTCAGCCTGGCGAACCTCTCCGACGCGAAACGCATGGCCCTTAGCTCGGCTGGGGCCGGCGGGGATATCGCAAGAGTGGTGGGTGCATATCGCAGCCTCCACTGTAGTGGCCCAGGAGGGGTAAAGGCCCGCGAGGGCTAAAACGTGACTTGCGCCAAAACGGCAACATGCAGACGATGCGATGTGGCCGTGTATTCTACAGACGGAGCTGGGAACGAAACCAACCTGAGAACGAATATTCGTCCAATGAGACTCTGGTATGTTATGATTCGGGCTGGGGGTCTCTCCCAAGGGCTCGTCTAAGCTGGTTGGGGTCGGGGTGATGCACGCGCGCGGATTCGAAGCAGAACTTTCTTTCAGTGGCCAATCATCCCCTGGCCGTGCGTCGAGGCCCTCTTCGCCCTCGCCGTCAGTCGCCCCCAGAAGAAGAAGAAAGGACAAAGAAAGAAAAAACACACAAAAACGCAAGGGGAGCTCTCTGGGGGAAGGTGCAGGTCCCAAGCGGTCTCCGAACACTGAACTAGACACTTCAGTCCTACGCTGGCGATACAAATCTTGCTTAGCTTTACTGGCAGCCTTGGCCTGAGACGATTTCGAACCACGCGTTGGGATAGCTCTAGGTCTGGGCATCTGCGGGAGCTTGCCTGGCAGAGACAACATTCGGGTAACCGGCTGAGACCCTTGCGAGTGAAACTGAACTGGCAAGCCGAAATGCGGTTTCCACGGGACATCCCAAACTGGTGAGACTTGTTTTTTTGATGTACGCTCGGGCCGAAAGACTACAACGTAACTAGTCCATATGGGGGCTCTCGTGGCCAGAAGAGCACGCAACGTCAATCGGGGCCTGAATGACTTGGCCCCCTACAGAATCTAAAAAAACCTGACCGAGCTAACGCCTGACGGCCCATGTTGACGCCCCCCGCAACTACCCAGGGCACCTGTAATAATGTCAATAGCGGCCCTAGGTGGTGGAACAGAGCGACGTTTCGACTCGACATGCCAACCGAAGGGCGCGCATAGAAACAAATCGCTGCAGCTGCATAGCCTCGAACACGGATGGGAGTGGGGGCGCAGCCGCCCCAGCATGCATGGCCCTGAGCGCGCAAAGCTCGCCCGCTCTCACTTGCTAGAAGCTGATGTGTCTGAAGGTGTCCTCGCGCTAAGAGCCAGTCACCTCCCTCATTTGCCGCCTGCTGACGTGACTGAGATGCGTTTCTGGCCGAAGGGCGAGCTCTGTTCACAACCGATATGAGACGATTCAACCTAGCTTGTTTTACCCCACTTCTTCAAGTTGGCCGCGGAGACGTGGGTTTCCACGGAGCCGAAGAAGTCGAAGTGGCGATTCATGTCTGACTCTACGGAACGCCAGCACTAGTCCCCCATGGCAGTGACGTTGGCGAACAAGAAATTGCAAGTGCGATGCTACGCGCTACTCTCACTATCTGGCTCTGGGCCAGGCGCGGCAGCCGCCGCCGCAGCCACCTGGGGTGCGGGGTCCTGCGGCGATGCCGCAGGCGCTCCCGTGGCGGCAGCTGCCTCAGCTAGTCAAGCTGACACCCTCCCAGGTGGGCCGCCTGGCCCCTTGCCCGCGGGCGCTGCGTCGCCGCCCTTGCCCTTGCCGAAGGCCGCGCGCTGCGCCTCGAACTTGGCGGCCGAGATCCTGGCGGCAGACTCGGCGATCAGCTTGTTCTTCACGGACTCCTCCTCGGACGCGGCGGGGGCGCCCGTCTTCTCCTCCACGGCGGCGGCGGCGGAAGCAGTCTCAGCAGCACTGTCTCCACCGCCAGGGGCAGCCACGCCACCCTCCCCCTTGCGCTTCTTGGCCAGGCGGTTCTCGACGTCCTCCTTCAAGGCGGCCGTCTCTGACAACTTAGCCTTGACCTCCTCGCTCTTCGCCGCGAGCTGGTCTCTGAAGCCGATGAGCTCGGCCCTGAGCTTCCTCAAGGTCTCGCGCTCCCCCTGCTTCAACTCTAGCTCCTCAGCGTGCTCAAAGACCGCGTCGCCCCACGTGACCTGGACATTGGGGGCCGTAGAATCCACTCCACCTGGGCCGTCTCCTCGCTCTTGGAAGCAACACCTTCCACTTTAGCAAAAAAATGCCGATGCAACTTTCTTGGCCTCCTCGGCCTGCGCTGAAGCCTCAGCTGCTGTGATATCCTTCTCCTCCGCGTGCTGGAGAGCAGTACGAAGCTTGAGAACGTTATTGGCACATTGGGTATGCTCGTGATCTGCGTCCTTCCAAGCTCCCACTGCCTTGCGCACCGACTCGATCGCCATGCCTGAGTTGGCGCCGGACACCGCGGAGGGGGTCGACTGCAGGTGGCTGGTCCTCTTCTGCAGCATAACACGGAGCGGCTCGTCGGTTGTGGTGGCCACAAGCAGCTGGAGCGACGTGACCTCATCCACTGCGCCTGGCTGG